TGAGTAGGTAGTAACAAAATCAAATTTATTATGTCAAAAAACTCCCAGACACCAATTTTCATCCAAATATTGACGTAAAAAATTGAAATAAAAATGAAACTTCTACACCCTGTATCTCCGAAACTAAGCATTTTAGGACATACATTTATACGAACTTTGTTACTTATTTTAATGTGTAGAATATGCTGCGGAAGTTTCCGAAATACAGTTCGGAGCACCCTGTATAAATATACCGAAATATCCAGAAGTGAAAGTGTTGAAAGCAACATCCTAATATACAGTGTGTCCACGGATTGATTCCCAAAGAGGGAACACTTTTTTATTCGTGGGTTTATGAAAAAAAGTTATTCTTCATAAAAACTCCTGCTTGTGCTTAAACGACCAACAAACATATTATTTTTACAAATGTATATACCTAGTGTTAAAAAGTTTAAAAAATATGGAAAACGCTAAGAACAAAGTACTGAGTATATGTAAAAATACGGTGAAAAGTTATTAATAAAAGTTCTAGGGATTGAAAAACTACAGCACGTTACCAAATTTTATCTCACTACCTAAATGTACAGGGATTGGTAAAAGATTCCTCTCCATATAAAATACCATTTACTCTAAATTAACTTATTTTTTTTTGAATAACTTTAAAATCCTTGTTTACCTTTACGCAATTTCATTACTTTCCTTTTTAAATTAACCAATGGGGGCTATAAAATAAGCTATTATTAATGACTTTTCATCATTCATATTTTTACATATATACAAGTACTTTGTTCTTAGCGCTTTCCATATTTTTTAAACCTTTTATACACTCAGTATATACATTTGTAAAAATAATATGCTTGTTGGTCGTTTAAGCTCAAGGAAGAGTTTTTATGAAGAATAACTTTTTTTCATAAACACACGAATAAAAAAGTTTTCCCTCTTTGTCTGAGTCAATCCGTGGACACACTGTAGGTCTTTTTAATAATACCGGGTGTCCCACTAAGAATAGCTCTCGGCTGTATCTCGGAAAGTATTAGTCGTAGAGCTTGCGAAAAAAAATATTTATAACTGAAGAGAGCATGAGAAATTTGCTGGAAATTATTTTCAAGTTTGTAGAGCGGCCGCTAGAGGGCGCAATTGCTATTAAAAATAAGAAAAAGGTGTTTCTACACAATTTTGCCTAGATAACGGATATTATAAATAATAGATTCATAATCTTCAGTAATTTTTGCATATTTTTTGTTGGAACCATTCTCCCCTATCTGCAAAAATAAAGTGGTGGGGGAAGGTTAGATCTGTTTTTATTTAAATGTTAATAACTCCGGACTGGTTGATCGGAATCCAACAAGTGAGGGCTCGTTTAAAAGAGCGTTTCTTACTCTATATTACAGCGTATAAACAATAAAAATAAGCTTTTGAACGTAGACGCTAGGGGGCGCTATCTTACAATTTAACAAACATTACGCGTTTTTTCGAAAAAGTTAAATGCGATAGTATATGTAATTTTAGCTGATACTAAAGAGTAATAAAAGTTTAAAAATCCAGCGAAAACCGCATCTTGATATCTTTTTTCAAACCAAAGTTATTAGCAAAGTTATAATAAATACGAAAATATAAGCCCTTAATTACCTTATCTTTCTAACGCGGTATCCCTAGCTCTCTTGATTATGATCATTCTAATAAGAAATATGATAAGAAAATATTATTTCATTCAAAAAATCGACAATGTACCAGAATACCATAATATACTAGGTGTAATAATATCTAATAATTAAGATAGCAATGAAAGTGACTAAGAAACGACGCCTCAGTGAATTCATGGTAGGCTTGGGAAAAAAGTTGCTTTTAAAGAGATAGTTTAAACTCAAAATATTATTATATCAACAATTTTATAGTCTCAGCAGCGTTTTTTATCTTTTGATTGCTTTTCTTCAAAAGAGAAGCCTTCAGATATCAAATGTTGATTTAATAACTCTTTGACATTTATACTATTACGTCAAAAAGTAATACTTTTTCCAAAGCCCACCATGACTTCACTGAAGAGAGACGTCGTTCTTGTTCACTGTCATTGATATCTTAGTATTGAATATTAGCTACATCTGTGTAATACCATTCTGGAATATTGTCTATTTTAGAATAAATTAATCCTTTCTATCTTATTTTTTTATTAGAACATAATCAGAGGCTGCCAGCCGTGTTAGAAAAACCAGTGACCAATTTTTCGTATTTGTGCCTGAGCACGACTTCGGTTTGAAAGAGGATGAATGCCATTTTCGCTGACTTTAAGCTTTTATTACTTCTTTGACTCAGCTAAAATTACATATATATCGCATTCTTTTTTTTTTTGAAAAACTTGCTTGTCTTGTTAGAGTGTAAGACCTTTAGCATTCAAAAGCTTGTTATTGTGTTTATAATATAGGTAAGCCTTTCTTTCTTTGAGCTTCGTTGTTCCCGCTGTTCGTTCATCCGGTCGAGGAGTTAATGTTTAAAAACAGATCTAACCTTCCCCCACCACTTTATTTTGGCAGATATGGGAAAATGGTTCTAACAAAAAATATGCAAAATTTACTGAAAACTATGAATCTATTATTTATAGTATCCATTATCTAGGCAAAATTGTGTGCTATACAAACTTGAAAATAATTTCCAGCAATTTCTCATGCTCTCTTTAGGTTATAAATATTTTTTTCCGCAAGCTCTACGACTAGTAGCTCTCGGGAGATCGCCGACAACTATTCTTAGTGGAGACACCCTGTACAGGAATGAGTCAAATTCAGAGCGCTTTTAAATGGAAACACTCTTTTCTATAGGAGATAGAGAAAAACTAATATCGGTGTCTGGAGCTCAATTTTTGTCAAAAACATGATAGTGAAAACCAAATATCGATATCTGTTACCGTTTCGGAGTTACGGGGTGTTTTTCGAAAATATGCATTTTTAACAAATCGATGTAACTTTTTTGCTATGGAAAATTTTGTATTTTTATGAAAACATTTCCAAAGCACCTTTTTACGTAGAATTTAATGGTTTAAGTATAATTTTTTTAAAATTAATAATTTAAGAATTTCAATAGAAAATTTGATTTTTTATATGGGACACACTGTATATTTTTAATTTATTGAAAATAATTTAAAATTACCTTTCCAAAAATATAACACACTTGATATTTTGCTCGATTCCTCTTCGAGATATAGAGTATATAAAAATTCGCCCGCTTTAAATAAGTAGGCTTTGAACCAAAGACATCTAAATATAGGTAGACAGAACACTCCATTCATAAAACTCAATTTTTTAGAATCATACATGGTTTGGCACTTTTATGAGAGTTAAAAAGAGATGGGTACATAAATATGACAACACGGTTGAGTTTCGTCTGTCTTTCTGTCATTTCACTCCATCAGTGGCGTGACGGTGGTGTGGTGTTTTTTTATCAAAAATTTTAAAATAGTTATTTTGTGTATTTTAATTTAAATTTTAATTTGTAATATACGTAGTAATATCGATAATATACAATGTAGGGGCGTTTGCACCAAGTTTTTTAAGCAAAACTTAACACTATGTTTAGCTTATTTTCTTGCACTATGCTTTAATCTAACTTGAATTTATATTTAAATTAAGCGGTCAAATTTCCAGGCTAGTGGTCACTTAACCTATCTTAGACACAAAAATATTGTTTTACGAGGAAGAATTATTGTTATTCCTTTGAGAAAGCTAAAAAATGTATTATGATACCTCTACGTAAGTTCGATGATTACTTTTGATATCCTAGACGTCGATCAGTAGGTATATTCATTGAAAATGGATTTCCTCAAGAATGGATGTAAGGAAAAATCATATTGCCAAGAAATGAACCTCCTTAAGTTTTTAGGACAGAGACTTTTAAACGACACTGTAATATATATCATTATTAATTACCTCGGTTTAATTGAACAAAATCTAGAATATCAAAATGAGAGGTAAGTTGGAATGCTAGTAAATCTAATGTAAGATAAATTAATTATATTTATACTTTGAACCATTGTTCTTTAGTATTTCCAGAAACAACAGCATAACTGCCATAAATCAACAACAATTTTATAGTATATTTGGGTTTCCTGGGATTATAGGGATAGTTGATGGAACACAATGTAAGAAAACATTCACCTGGTAAGTACCTATATATTTTCTTCAATATTTATCAGCACAAGGTTTCTTATACTTTACAGGGGGTATTGATGGAGAGGTATTTAGAAATAGAAAGCATTATTTTCCCCAACATTTAAATTACTGGAAATGCTAGTCTTAAAACTATAGACTTGATTGCTTGTTGGCATGGGTCTGTGCATGAAGCCACCATTTTTGGAAATTAAGGACCCGCTTGGAGACTGGTGACTTTTCAAATTAAATCCTGCTTGGTTAGTGGTCCGTATATTTACTTACTGTTAGATCATTTATATAAAATATATTCCTTAAATATTTGAGTAGGTATTCAATTTTAAATATTTTACGAATAAGATGAATTGAAAGAAATTTTTTAAAATTAAATGTGAAAATATTCAAAGGGTTCATATACTCTATTAAATTATTTTATTATCTGTTATAAGGTGAGATTGCATATGCATTGAGGGGATATATGCAGAAATAGAGCTGAAGAAATGTTTCAGAATTATCGTTATATGGAAACGCCACTTTCCAATATGTGTTTTATGGTATAAGACCAAAATTACAAAACACAATGTCAGTTATTATTGCACAACAGTGAGTTAAGAAAAATATTATCTGTTTAATTATAGAACAAAATTTAAAAAATTTAATGTATGTACTTAAATTTTTAGATTTTGTTGTTTCAATGTGCTACACAATACAGCCAGAATGATGCCTGAACAAGAGCTGCCGCCGTTAGATGAAATAAATATGGACCAAATTAATAAGAAGAGAAATAATAAATTATTTTGAAAGATTAGGGCAATATTTTTTTTTACTTATTCTAAACATGTTTTTATGTTGTTATTAAATCTCTTGAGTATTAATTTCTATAAAATATCATTATTAAATGTCTTTTATTCAGAAATAACATACATTACATTTTTTACATTACAATATAAACACTAATTAAAATTATTAAGTAAGTTCTCTTTGAGAACTTTACTGTTCTTTTTTTATTTCAATGTCTATTTTTTTCTTTAGCTTATGTTCTTCTCTGTTTTGAATACTACTACTTTGAATTTTGCCCATCTCCATATTTCAAAAGAACAGCCTTTTGTCTAGTAAATTAATATCTTCCCTTTTCTTCTGTTTCTTTGTAACTATCAGTTTTGTTTTGAGACTGAAAAAATATCTAAATATATTGAATTCTCTTAAAAGTAATAAAAAATTCAAAAACACAATGAAAGGTTAGTACTTACAATACCAGTACTCCTATTAGTTTTAGACAATCTATCACCATCATGTTTTCCCAATCCCACAATGCTCTTTCTCATTTTACATTAATTGAATATATTATTATCTTCCGTTTTTTGCTTTTTGTATACGTGGACCTCCACCAGTTAAGTCCAAAATATATTTCAATAATTGATTTTCTTTTTTACATAGTATTTATACATACGTTGTAAGCTTTCCATACAAATTAGAAAGCTAAAAATCCCGTTTTTTCTTTGTGACTATGGTTGACCATTCTTTTTAAAGTAAGTCCAATAATATACAATTTAATTATTTCAAAATTATTAAAAAGTATGTTGTTCTTATATTTTTGATAATTTTTTTATATGAATATTTTGTAAATCCATTCTGAGAGTTAAAAATATCAAAAATATTGTTGAAAACTAAATGGAATTTAGAGGCCTCCTAAGAAAACTCTGGGCCAGTTTATGTATCCCTTATAAAATTCTATGTTTTCGGCGAATAAAATGACAATGTTAAAGCAAAGGATAGTAGCAGAAGATTGGATTTTTGTGTGGCAGGTCCTTTTAACATTCTTTCAAAAATACTTTGTACTGGTTCAGCTAAGGAAACCTAAAAAAACATATATTATCTCTATTAATGTTATATCTCTATAATATTATTATTAGTCTTTTTTAGACACAACCAAATTCACTAAAGGGTTTTAAAATTTAGACCTGGCCTTGTCATGGAAATTAGAACCTTCCATTAATCGTATTTATGCCACTGTCATATGGATTAGTGTATCATTCACAAAATTAGACCAGAACTAAATTTAAAACTTGTTAATGAATCTTGGGGACAGATTTTGACATAATGGCTGTAGGACTAAATTATTAAATGGCCGATAACTTTACATTATTATAGTTCCCCTCCGCCCGCCACTCAAATATATACATAAAATAGTGTGTCCAAGATAATAATTACAAGCACTGGGATCTCAGAAACAGTAAGAGATACAGCTTCAATTATTAGAAATTGCTTTTAGCGATTTTTACTTGATTTTTATATTTTTTTGGATCCTCACATATAACCTTTGACTTATAACCATTATGTTTTTAAAATGTCACCCTGCATACCTATATTCATACCTGAATGGTCAATTCAGTTGATTCACTTATCAAAGATTTTTCTTTTAAGTAATCAATTAACTGATGCATATATATTATTTTATTTTTCAATCTTCTAAGACCTATTTGTAAAGTATGTATTTTTCATTTTCTTTGTTTCCAAATTTTTACAAGACTTAAATTTCTACATAATATCATTATAATGCCTCATTAACATACTTCTTTCTGAAATTAAAATAACTTATGCACAATTTTACTTAAGATACAGGGTGGCGCCTCTTAAATGCTACCAAGGAGAAAGAGTTTGTATTGAAATTAAATTTTGGGAGTATATGTAGGTTAATTTAGAGCATTTAAACATATAAATGTGATAAAATATGTGTTTTTTTAAAATATGGAGTTCTACAGGGTGTCGCCAAAAAAGTTACACAACAAAGTTTTGTTTTTTGGAATGGGACACCTTATATATTATTTGATTTTCGGATTCTATGAGAAAAATAAAGGTGAATTTCATTATTGGACTAAAATGTAATTTTATTCCCTTTTATTTGAAATGAACACAGCAAGTTCCCTTTTATTTGAACACCCAGAATACTATTCCGATCTTTTAATTGCAGTGTGCATTCATCAATTAATAGAATGCTTAAGGTCAAATTTTAATTTGGTTAAATATACAATGAGTAAATTTCCATCTAGGTAGCTGTTATTGAAATTTAAAGTTTATTCATTATTTTCACCAAATGTGAAATATGACAAGCCTTACATTTTAGACATATGCTTCTTTAATGAAACTCACCTTTATTTCTTTCCTAGAATCCGAAAATCAATTAATATATAGGTGTTCCATTACAAAAAAAAACTTTGATGCATAACTTTTTTTGGGGACACCCCGCAGAACTCTTGATATTTCTATAAAATGCTTTCCATTATCCTACATATGCTCCCAAAATTACATTAACGATAAAAACCACCGTTCTCTTTGGAGCCTCCGCGTCGTAGGAGAGGCACCACCTTGTATATAATGTAGAGGTAATTTTTACCTTTTTCTGATACTTTGACGACTTTCTTGAGATAATAAATATCCAACTATTGAGAGATCAGAAGATGAGGATTGTCTTACTATGCTGTAAACAAACAAAAAAACATTAATAATTAATTTTTCAATAAAACCTATTTTCGTTTTTAATTTTTTCCTAAATACTAATAATTTCCTTCTATAGTATTAAATTTATCATTAAGCGAGAATGTTTTCTAGTGCAAAACAAAAGCTCACTCATAGAAAATATATGTAAACAAAAACCAACACTATGGCAAAAATTATGTAGTTTATGATCTTATAATGTGGAAAATAATTCCAAATAACATATCCTTGACAAAACATATAAAATAAAAGATAGCTATGTTAATTATACAGGGTTTCTGGATATTCGACCGATAAAGTCTCGTATTTTTATAAAAATTAAGATAGGGAAGTAAACCCATAAAGTGCTTAATTAATAAGATACAAAGTGATATTAGTAATGTTATATTACGTTATATTGTTCTATTAGATATTATAACAGCTTCCTTGAAATCTATTACTGCTAATGACATAAACAAAGTGTCCCCTTTTCTGCGAGAAAGATAGAGATGTCAATTTTTAAATAATTAAGATGGCAAACAAAAGCAGAAAAAATGTTATTTTGAAAAAGCTCAATGTGTCAAAGTATCCCGTCTACTATAGTTACGTCAAAAGTATGATTAAGAATGTATTTAGATTTTTTACCGCAAAAATTGTGTCTACGAAATTTCGCGTCTCTATTTTTTTTAAGAAATACCTGGATATGTCAAAATAATAAATAACTTACTATTCTGACACCCTGTATGTTAAAAAGTGAATACTTCATAAGAGGGTGTACACCTGTATTCAATAAGCCACAGTACACTACTTGACAATAATAGTTATAATGAGAGTATTTCATTTAAAATATATTACATACTAGTTGAAGCCTGGCGCATCCGCCACGACATCAGGAAAAAAAAATACTTATTATTTTTTTTAATTAAATGAAAAATAAAAAATCCGGCGATGAGCCAATTAGCTATCTTTTAGTAAAAAAAGCAACTTTCTAGAGCAAGTCGTTACTTCAGTAGAGACGACACAGATAAACATTAGCATTTTATATTATTATTATATTATATATATTACTTTGTTATGAATACAGCTATATTCCCATTCTGTTAAAAATACAAGAGCTTTTAAGCCTTGTCAGTCAAACATCCAGAATACACTTACAAAGAGCACATACTGGTTAATTCCAACTTCTTTTTCCAATGCCGTTTCTGTTGTTTTGAGGGAAGGGCTTCTTGAGAAGGGCTAGTTTATCTTGTATGATTTTAGGCAAAATCCTGTGAATTTTAATTAATTATCAATATTAAAATACATGTATAAAATGTATCAATGTTCTTACAAATTTGAGGGGCCAGCCAAACTGCCAATCGCGGGACTAGGTAGGGACCTTCTCTAGTCCCTCAGCTGGTCTGGAGGTTCATTTACCTAAAACATTTTTTGGGTGGCGGTACAAACTAGAAGAAAACCTAGAGTAAATACTAATATTAGTACAATACTTATTTATTAACTGTTAAAATGTATTTGACTGCTTTTTACCTGTATGATAAAGCCCCAGCAAAAATGGTACTATCTATTTGAGGCTCAGAATTTGGTCTTATTTGCCTTCGATCAGTTAATTCGGCGATCATAATATTGCTCTTATCAAAATCATCAGAACAAATTTGGACACACATTAGTTTGATTTTTCAAATTCAAGAGTGAAATCGATCATTGTCTAAGCTCAGTAATTATAGGAACGCTACAAAAGTACTATTGGTTACATATGCAACACATACATATTAAGTATTATAAATCTATTTAATAATATATGTAAAATAATAAAAATATGCGGTAAAAAAAAGGAAAAATTAACCTAAAGGAAAAATTTTCCAAGGTTTATTTTCCTCTATTTAAAACACCAGCTATGTACTCGTCTGTGAATTGTGTGCGTGTGTATGGGTGTATAGGTAAGTGTGGGTAAAAGTGTAAAGGGTTCCAAAACTAAAAAAAAAAATATCATAAATGAAAGAGTAAAGAATTATCATAAGTAAGGCTTATCATTATTATTCAAAACAGTGCATATTTTTTAAGTACTGAAGCATCATTATAATTTTATTTATTTTATTAACTTTTTTAATTTGAATTTTGAATACCTATATCTAAACCTTTCCTATTATATAATTACTTATAGAATTTTTTATAATAAATAAATAATAGATCAATCATGTGTTACGGTTAATATCTAAAACCTGCTAATGTTAACTAGAGTTCAATAATATTAATATTTAGATTGCAAAAACAGTTTTCTTTCAACATTGGGGGAGAAATGTGGAAATTATCTAGCCAAAGTCTGAAGTAATTATAAAAATTAAATGTCTTTAACTGAACATTAGCTAACTTTGTAATACTAATTTAGCATATATATAGGTACATAGTTAATATAGAATATAACTGAATAATTTTGATGTTCAAATCGTGTTCAAATTTCAGGTATGAACTACCTATAACAGCAACAGCTGTTTTATTTCAGCAGATATTAGCCATAACATACACAATTTTTAAGATATTTATAGCGGTTTCGAATGTTAGTTGGTACTTAGATATATAATATAAAAAAGGTTTTTAAATGTTAAGTTGAGAACAGTCAGTATTACCCCTGAGCATTTTTTACCACCAACTGTAACAGCGAAATGGACAAATACTTAAAATAATTGACTTAAAACGTAGATCGGTTTTGCCAAGGTTTTGCCTGAGGTCTAACTGAGGATAAGTCGGTGATACGATACTACAGATAAGTCTAATTTCACAATCAAAAACGCCAGCAAATATGAAAATATACGTATTTTTGTAATAATCTACTTATAACTAAA